TCAGGGATTACACAGGCGCGTATCTGTTCAAGTGGCAATGTAAGACTTCCTTAACTCAAGAACCGTGGCCAAATTCTTATACATAAGATAAACATCGCCCAGATATACATTGCATGCAAACATAAATTGTGATATGATTTAAGTAAACTTTTAAAACGGAATATCTTTCCGAATAATTGAAGCATAATCTTTAAGCAATACAATTATTTCCATCAAAGGAAAACTCAAACACACAATCTAAGATGTATATATATACTTTCGCATTCTCCTCAAACACAAAAAGTTTCAAATATCGATATTTAATCTCTTCTTTCTAGATAAACCATGTTCAACACACGAACAATTGTGATTGCCATAGACGACAGTGAACATTCGCTTAATGTCTTTAATTGTAAGTACATTTCAATCAATCTGCTTTTATTTTGTAATTATTTGATTTAACGAATCTAGTTTTCAAGTATCTACGCCATCTTTGAATTACCTCACCTTTTAATTTATTACAGTTCTCATGTTTCTGAAGTAATTTTACTATAACTTCTTTACTCTATCTGTAGGAAAAACCAGGTTACATTAAAACTGATAGTGAAAAAAAAACATTATGTTTAAAAAGTTTTATTGCATATGTTGTTAGTATTTCTTTCCATTTTAGTTTACGTTGACAACATTCACAAAATTGGCGACTGCGTTATTCTTGTGCATGTTCCTGAATACAGCAATGTTATAACTAACTGTAAGTACTAATAAACATGTATAATCCTTTTTGTTAATATTCTGAATGTACCCTGAATCAAACATGTAAATGTATTTAGTTAAATCTACTATAAGTAAAGAAAATTAACAACTTATTCATAATTAGAAATAATGTTTCATGTTTGAAATAGAGAAAATATGAATCCCTAAAGAAAGCACAACACAACAAAATTGAGAATGTTGCAGGCTCGGTTTGATTGAGCCTGTTCATGAACGGTACTGTCAAGTGCAAACTACCGTCCGCGCATCCCCAGCACCGGCTTAAGCAGAATTCAACATTTTAACATGAAATAGTAATATTTGAATTTTGAAACATCTGCAGATGTGTTCATACGGCGATTATCATGGAACCTTCAATGTGACACTTTTATGCTATTCCATCAAAAGCGGCGTATTGTCCCCAAGTAATAGAAAGTGTGTGCCCTAAACGAGAAAACAAGGGGCGGAACTAAACAAAATGGAATTTTGAAAGGGGATCAGCGTTTATCACAGATAAGACGTCAAAAAAACAAATTTAAAAAGCAGGCAACATATCTTAAGGGTGATTCAACATTATTCAAGAAGGAATAATGGAACCAACCAATTAAAAAATGCCGAAAAGAAATAACTAAAAAGTACAACAAACACGACAATAATGTCGTGCTGAAAGATCTTCAAGGATCGGAAATATAACATCCATGATTGAATGTACGGGTTGACTTTTAACAGTCTCTACACAGCACATTTTAATGTTATTAAAGATGCTATAGTTAGGTCGTCTCTCACTTAGTTTTGAGTTAGTGCTCCTAAAGCAGAAATAGAAAATGTACGGTATCGAAATATGTCTTTTACAAACAGAATTGCCAATGCTGTTCATAACAAGATATAAAATTGTAGAACACATTATGTTGTGATGTTTTTTTATCATTCTTTATCATAAAAAACTAAAAAAGTTTGATTGGTGTGTAAGGTTGAAACTAGTAATGGATCTTGCAATAATATGAAATTGCGTTGTTTTGTTAACAGCGTCATTGCTAACAGACACACAAATCCTGGCGGAGCTAATGAAGGTGACAGAAGAGAAAACACGACAACTAGAAGCAGATTATATTCTGAAAATGAACGAGCTGCGGGTAAGTCAATAAATTACCAAATAATGTAAAGCCTTTCAACTGATTAAACAAAGAATACCATACACAAACAATCACGCGTTGAATAAACATAGCTATGACGGACCAGAAAATGAATTATACGCAGAAAATTCATTAGAGCAAATAAAAACAACGCATATCATTAGATAACAACTGAATTATGCTGTAGAAAGTTTTTTTGTTTTTGTAGATCAACGGGTCGATGAATCAACACTATGGTACTCCTAGTGAAGCAATTATAGGGGCTGTTAATGAGGAGAAAGCAGATCTGTTGATTCTAGGATCGAAGAGACGAGGAATTATGTGACGCACATTTCTAGGGTGTGTCAGTGATTATTGTCTTCATCATTGCAATGTGCCTGTTATAATATGTCCACACAAGGTTCAGAAACACTCGAGAGAATACTTTAAATCAGATGAAAACATTAATTAATAGAAATACAAATAAAGGAATAGTTTTTTTTATAAATCGGGTTAATTTATTTTTCTTAAATCCAACTTTCGTGACCGTCAGAAATGAACGGACAGACAAAACGGCAACTTTATTCATACAATGAAGTACATTGCAATTCCATTTTGACATTTTCTTTACTTTCAACAAATTGTCCTACATTTGTTTTGGAGCTGTATTTATGACAAAGAAAGATAATTTAAGGGAGTTAATTCAAAAATAAAACAATGGTTAAAGTTCTTGTACGCTGTAGATCCCCGTAATATCAATTACGGTGAACAATTCCTCAAAATTCTTTGAATAAATTTGGAGGACAAATGAAAACATAATGAAAAGGCATCCAAGGAAATAAGTATCCTAAATAAAACAATGTAACAATGTACCGGGACGTTCAACTTATATATTCAACGATATAGTTTGTAGTTATCCCGACTCAACACCAATCTTTTCTCATTTGAGTATCAATATGCCAAAAATGCATGATATGCTTAATGTAAAAACGAGCCAAATATATTCTAATATATAATCTTATAATTTTTATAAAAAGTATCCGAAGTCATCTTTGGAGTAAAAGCACATTTTTGGAAAAGCAAAGATACCAAATTTTGATGACTATATGCACTTACTGTATGGTCATGGTATTCAATGGCCGCATGGGTATCATTAAGGGGACAACAGGCCTGATTTGTAACTAGGTTTCAATATCTTTAATGCGGATCAAATACAAGTAAGCCGAATAATGTCTGTTCCGTCTGTCTCTGCTGAGTTTGATTACCTAGAATTCAATGTATCCAGTTATTTCCGGGAGTTCGGGTAATTAAACTTAGTTTATAAATACCGCTGATGCGTCTTTAGTGAGTATACTAATCTTTTTATTGAGCGACGATCGTCGTGGCGATGTTTGCCGTCTATTTCGTTATTCCTTAGTGTTTCTCCGTAAGGTCAGTACATTTCATAACTTTTTTTCACAGATTTCATTTGTTTCTCTGTATTGGTCAGTCCCGTATTAGTTTCCATCCTAATAATCCTAAAACTGACTGTGTGCCAGTTTGTGTAAAAATGCGCCGCTACAGGGTCGTTGTACTTGGTCCTTATTGTTGGTAAGTTCAGAAGATTTTTGGTATAACGTGTTCCCCAGCATACATATAGTCTTGGCAAATGTTTAAAGTAAACTACATATACCATATTCATCGATTCACACGGGATCTGATGGCGTTCCCTGTAATAAACGTGTCTGCTAATGTAACATACGGACAAATTGCTTAGGTTTATTGATTTACAGCGCAGACTTAGATAAATGATTGCTTAAACCTTTTTTTTAAACAAACTTGTATTCAGTCAAAAGGTCTTATTAAGGGAATTTGAGAAAATCTAAAAGACATTCTAATCACTTAATAATAAAATAAAAGAAAAATGTAGATAAATAACAAATTACGTAAATAGTCTGCTATGTAAGACATGAATAACATCTATTGCCTTTTACTGAACGTTAGAATTTTTAACGATTTTATGATTTTTGAGTATTTTTCATCCTATAACTCCTGACTTTCGCAGTAAGGACTATATTTGCATATTTTGAGTTATTTCTGGTGACTTACTTGAATTGTACATGTCGTTTGCAATGTGTAAATTATCATTTTAGTTCATGAAAATTAGCATGAATCTGGAGGCATGCTGCTTTAATAGGAATGTAAAGATGAAATAATCAGAAAGTAAATATGTTTTTATTGATGGTCTTGTTTTGTTTTCCCCTGTTTGGTAGACATATTATGCTTTACATTGGAGCGACCATATCTGAAATTTAAAATGTTTACGTCTGGTTGATTGAAATATCTTTTCAAAAAAAGTTTGTTAAAATGTACACCAGGACTTCTAGAATTTCCGATAAGATTCATCAAAAATCCCTAAATTATGATTTATTACCGAAAAACCCCTTTTTTCGATCGTGTACAATCAGACTTTTGTTTCATTTATCAGTTTAACAAGTATTTACAGGAAACATTAGCGTGAAATATTCAGATCACAGATGCTCTAATAATGTTTAGATGATGTTTTTCATTGATATCATTCACTTCGAGAAAACCCTGTCTGTCGCCGTGAAGAATGAAAACAGTTACATAAATATTTATATTGTTCAACTACAAAATTAAACTCATTGGATACTTGTATTATCTAATATCCTAGTGTCTAGATTTTGTTGGCGGCCTCTTGGTTTAAGATGACGTCATTGCATATGTAATTAAAAGATTGTTTACACTTTTTAAAACAAACTTGTATTTATTCAGAAGTTATTTTTACGGAAATATGTTTAACTGAAAATCTAAAAAGGAATTCCTATTCTTAAGTCATTGGTATCTTAATTATTAAGCAAACTTTTCTGATTTATCGAGCAGGATTATTGCTTAAAATCAACATATAGGTAGGTATTTCATTCTTTCTTTTATAAAGAGTTCAAATTTATCTTTTTTTAAGAAACATCAATAATTATATAGATATTATAAATAGATGCTATGTTGTAATTTGGCCGATTCCGAGTGGTCAGCGTTGCTATCTTTGATTTTACTCGGGGAAGAGTTAACAGCGTTTTATAAGAAGGCTTCACTGATTTAATTTCTGTTTTGATCATTTGGAAAGCAATAGAAATTTGTTTAAAAAACCTTTCATTTTTTTATTAGATGTATGGTAAATATAAGATTACCAAAACAGTAAAAATGACACTTTTAATAACTATATCGAACAAGAAATAGTCTGGCAGATTTTATGCCAGAAGCAATTTAACACATAATTATTCTCATCAGTGTTTCTCATTGTTTCATAAATCTGTCAACGGCAAACTTGGTCTGGTTATATTATTGTCATTTTAATGGAAAACAAGTCAAGAGCAATGTTTTAGATTTCAATATCCGTCATCTTGCTTTACAAGAGGAATTGGACTTCTGTTTCTAAAAATGGCTTGTTGGATTAAGCGTGTATAACGAATATCTTTTTATATATTTTATTGGAGGATTTCGAGAGCTGAAGATACGATTTCAATGGATGTAAATGAAATGACTGTTAAGCTACACATATAATTTAATATGAATTAATTGGAATGTGTTTGAGATGAAATTATGTTTTGTAATGAATTTTAAGTGTATCATTACATTATTTCAGGAATCGGAAATATTTATATCAATCATGTCGGGTTCAAGAACTGTCGCAATAGCCATTGAAGACAGCGAACATTCCATGTATGCGTTTAACTGTAAGTAAATAATTTATTTTCGTTTTTTTCGGTTATTTGTTACATGGCACTATTAAAATAATTTGGATTCTAATTTTATTTACTCAGTCATATATTTTGGTACTAGAAAATATATGTATACTGTATTATTTTATGCTTTTCAGTGGATTACTGATTTATCCGTGAAAATTTTATTTGATAATTTCACAGTGAAAATTATCAAAATATAATTTCACACTTTTCAATGACAAAACTACTTTTTAAGATTTTCCCCATGTGGTATCTCAATTTTATTTTTGGTGACTATTCCGACAATGTCAGGCTGTTTAAAGAAAAGCAAACCTGAAATTGATAAATAACTTCTATGTAAAAAGTAATGAAATGCTATTCATTCAAATTTCCAATCACCAAATATCGTCTCTTTAATTTTTTTGTTTCATATTTACAGTCTCAAAAATACATTCCTTCCACATGCAAAACTGCTCTTGACAACATTTGGGAATATTTAAGTATCCTACGAGCAAAAACTGACGTATGCCTTATGAAAACATTAAAAAGCAATGGCAGCTTTCAGTCGAAGAATATGTAAAACAACCCAGCGTTTGTAAGGCTTCCAAGTTTTCCAATTTCCTATCCACATTTTTGAATGTTTACACATCTGTCAACACTTATTTATTGTCTGTTACAATCCTCAAATAAGTTTTCTTTCTTTTAAAAAGGTGTATGACTAACAAATCCAAATGATATCCCTCTGAATCAAACACAATTATTTTCATCCAGTGAAATACACAACTTTGAAAATGGCGGCCGCTTACATTTAACATAGCCAGGACTAGTATAAATTCGCAGTCAGTAACAGAAATATGGATGGATGGATGGTTGGACTTTTTCTCCTACTAGAATTGTTTGTTTTTATTATTTAAACAAGCGATAAGACATATTTTTTAATAAGATGAACATATCACCACCATTTAACGTTGATTGTGGAACTTATTTTTCAACCCATGACTTCTTGTATTTAATGAGAAATTCGATTTTTTTGAGGCTCTAAATGGGGAAAAAAGATTTTAATATTAACGTAAATTTCGTTTTAACTTGTTTTTAAGCATAAAATAAAAAGAAAATTTGTTTGTTTGTTGTGTAAGATGTAATTTTATTTCATCTCGTGAACTTAAAAAAACAGTATTCTCACTCGTGGCTACGCCACTCGTGAGAATACTGTTTTTAAAGCCCACTCGATGAAATAAAATTTCATCTTACACACAAACAAACAAATATCCACTATATCTTCATACGCAATATGCAAGCGTAGTATAACTTTAGAAATAAGACGCATTTCTTTTTTGTTTTTAGTCTATATCGACCATGTCCATAAGAAGAATGACAAGGTTGTCCTCATTCACGTCCCTGAATACAGTAATGTTATTTCAGATTGTAAGTACATTTTGTTGATTCTATTTTCCTTAGTTGGATACAATACTGTCATATTTATGTTGATAGATTAATAATTATTATATTGTTGTAAATTTGCCTTTATGATAACCAAAAGACAAGTTCCATGGTAAAATAATTACACTAATTGAAACTTATAATTAGATTGTGATCATAATGTATACATATCAATTTAATTAGCTTGCTTACGTCGGTAAAATAATGATATGAGCGTATATTTTCTTAATAATTCGGGTAAATAATTGTTGGCTAAAAATAATCCAAAAAAGTAAATTAATAAAAACAAATTAACAAATACAGGTAGATAAATAAGATAAAAAAATATCCTCACCAAACAACAACAACAACCAAAACAAAAACAATAACAAAATAACAACAACAACAAGAACAGCAACAACATATCTGTATTGATTCAGTGGACAAAGCTCTAAAATATAAATACTTATTTTATTTATAAATACTTATTTTATTGCAGCTTCAGTGCTTACAGATACACAAATCCTTATTGAGTTCCTAAAAATAACAGAGGAAAAATCTCAAGAGCTAGTCAATACATACGCTCAAAAAATGAAAGACTTGCAGGTATACAGTTTTTGGTCAACTGTTTTGAAAAATAAACAAAGACTTCATGGAATATCGTTACAAATTAAAACATTTTGAGAAAAAAAATGTTACTATCTTTTGCTTTCGAAAATCTTAAAGAGTAGATAGTTTATCCCCCTCACCTCTGTGGGTTCGAATCCCGACAGGGACTTTGGATTCTTTCATGTGAGGAAGCTAACCAGCTAGCTTACGGAACGTCGGTGGTTCTACTCAGGTACCCGTTCGTGCCTGAAATAAATGAAATGAAATTACACGGAAGGGCACCTGAGGTCTTCCTCCACCAGTAAAGCTGGAACGTCGCGATATGACCTATACTGTGTCGATGTGACGTAAAACCCAAAACAAACAAACAAACAAAAGTTTATCATTCCAGTTATCTGATGTTAAGCAGTCGACGAAACCTCAATTATCTTTAATTTTTTCATCGTCTTTGAATAATGACATGATTCCATGATTCCTTTCCACGTAAGTTGTTCTATCTCTATATTTTTCTGTTTGTCGAGTAGCTACAAGGTGCAATAAAACAACAAACTGGAACTCCTAGTGAAGCTATACTAGAGGCCGTTCAAGAAGAAAAGGCTGATTTGCTAATTCTTGGATGTCGAGGGCATGGACTTATTTGCAGGACGTTGTTAGGGAGTGTTAGTGACTATTGTCTTCACCATTGCAGAATTCCTGTTATAATATGTAAACATCAAAAGACAAACATTTCTTCAAAGGACACTGAAAATCGACAAACTAAAAGGAAGTAAATATACATCCCAACATTCGATCACTTATAGAACCCATCTGATTGAAAAAAATTTACAACGCCTTTATGCTAAGAATTTTAACTAATTTCAAATCTAGTTTGTTCCTTTCATAAACAGAAAGGTTTCGATCAAATGTAGGTGACGTATTAAAAATAGTAAATAGTAATTGTGTCTTAATGTAATATAATCATACATAAGATATCTTTTTAACAATTTAAGTCATATAGACGTCCTTAAAACATTTAAGCTGATACAAGACAAACACATAAACTTGCTCTTACAATATGTTACTTAAAACAGACATTCGTAATTACAAGTGCTGACAGACGGCGGATTCCCTGTGGTCTAATAAATTGCACTGTAATTTGATTCGAACAGACTGCTAGATGATATATATCTGAAGTATTGAATAGCAGATTTAAATATTGTGTTATTTTATTTCTACTCCCAGTTGTGTGTGTAGCTTTTAAATATTACAAGTTATATGATATCTTAAAATGGTGACGTTTTATCTTTTAAGTTAGTTAATATATAATGGTGTTTTAGTCAAAAGAATACAAAGCTCTCATCTGAAATATAGATATCTTTTGAATTTCCTTCGCTGCCAATATGAACATAGTCTTGTTCTTAATATACTAAATTGTTTAAACCATTTTGATAAAGTCATTATTCATTTGTCACTCATACAACGACCGTCATTGTCTTGTATTACTAATCAATGACTGTGCAAATGGACTTTTGTGTGCGTTATTTAAGCTTTGCCGATTGTAAAGTTCTTTTTTTTTAAAACAGCAACAGTACTAGACATTAAAGAATACCAGAACAGATTAACAATTATTCAATATATACACAATTCATTGTTGTTTTATGATTTAATGTTATTTTCTGCTTAAGCCTGTTTAAGGGAGCGTGGACAGTAGCTTGCACTAACAACACTTTCATGAACAGGCTCAATCAAACTGAGCCTGCAACATTTTCATTTTGCTGTCTTGTACTTCCTTTAGGGATTCTTTTTCTCTCCTTCAAAACAATTCATTTGAGATTCATTTCAGATATCAATTTGATTTATAACATTTTGTGTTTACATGCAATTATTAATGTTAATTAGTGGTGATTGTGTCTGTCTCACAATGCCGCTAATTTATATAACATTTTATATTGTTATGAATATGTAAATGGATTTGAGGGCGTGCGTTCTCTAAATACGTTCGATATTTATGTCCAGTTTTTAATCAGCAACAATACTACACATAAACGGATACCAGAACAGATTAACAATTATTCCATGTATACACAATACTGTGTTATTTATGTTTAAATGTTGAATTTAAGTCGGTACTGGGGGCGTGAATAGTACCTTTCACTTTCCTGTACTTCCTTGAACGGGCTCAATCAAACCGGGCCTGCAACATTTTCAGTTTTTACCGTTGTGGACTTTCTTTTAGGATTTTTTCCCTTTTAAATCATTCATTTGAGATATTATTGAGATTTATTGCGTTTCAATACAATAAAGTCTTTAATGTTAATTAGTGGTGATCGTGTCTCACAATGCGCATATTATATAACATTTTTTTTTGTAATGGATTACATTTTCTTTAATGGCAAACACTTGTAGAACAATTAACGTACAACAATTACCTTGTTCCTTAACTCTTCCAATTTCAAATAAAAATATGTTTGTAGTTGTATTGCCATTTATAGATACATATGCTTTTATAGGGTTATTTTTTATTATGAAATTATATGATTCAGAGGACCTATTTCATTTATATAATCTACATTTATTATACTTTATTGTTATGTTTAAAAAGACATTTCACACTGAAATTCTAGACATAGTTTCTTTAGCAGCTGGACTAAAATAAGCACAAACGACGTAAATTAGTTTAAAGATAATGGTTTTATAGGGAGCTTTTACATTACCAGGATTACAAAGATGTTGAACAGTTCTCAAAAAATGCATTACGTATCTTCAGGCAGACATTATGGTGACTAGTCTTATAACTGCCTAATGTTGTTTTACGTCATATAAAGAAGTCATTAAAACAGAAGTAATTTAATCACTCTTGGGACAAAACAAAACAGAAGTAATAAATTCAGTTTTAGTTTCAGATGATTTCTAATAGTTGGATATTACAGTTTTACTACAAAATAATGGTTATTGCTTCAAACAGCTTGAATTGTAATTCCATGATTATGTTTCAAATATGAAAGCTATTAAAGATTCGTTCTCATATTCTAAAAATGCAGCGTTGTTGTCGTTCGACCAGTATGACATAAAATGATTGAATCAACCAGTTTGAGGGCCTTTAATAAATATTTCATAATTTTATTGACTTTCTGCAAAACGTTTTTTTTTTATACTAGGCACCACTTTTTGATTGACACAATATCCTTTTTTCAATAATGTATGTTTGCCATTTTACACTTCTATTTCCAAAATTTGCTTTAGCACACTTACACATTGAGTCTAAGGATTTATAAATTAAACAATATCTCAGAATGCACTTATATCTTATAGAAGTAGAAGTACCTGTATTTGGCGGTTATTTCTGTGTTTGATTATCAAACATCTTTGTCTCAATTTCCATTGTAGATTATACAATAATCGTTATTATTCTTGCTCAAAAACAATTTTTTTATCCATTTTATAATTTCGTAATGCATTTCGCCTCTTTTTATTACATGTTCAATCTTGCATGTTAATGTTTATCTATATTGTTTGAAATAAACACGTTCGTTGTTCTTCTGTTTGCGGCAGACATTACGCTCGTATTGCCAAGTAATAAAACAGGAATGAGGTTAATGTTGTGAGTTTGTATTCAACAGCGCAATTGAACTACAACCTGTTTTATCTAAGAAAAATGTTACTTTATTGACAGGTATCACACTTCAGAGAATTCCATTTAAGTCTCTTGATAATTGACATTACTTAAAGCAAATGTTCCAGGAACTGTTTAACTCATCATGCTGTGTTTGTATGTATCTCACGTTGATAAATAGATTAAACAATTTCATAGTTATAACAGGAGAGTACAACAAGGGAATTATGGGAATAGAAATATTTTGTATATGTGATAGGTATTTAAAATGAAAAAGAAAACATTCGGAGGTAACATTGTGATCATAATAGACAAGTTATTTTGGACCAAGAAGATTCGTTTAGTAAGTTATTTTTGAATCTTTATAAATGTTTATAGTATTTTGAAACTATCTTAAATTTATGAAAATCTTAGACATTTTAATAATTTTGTTACGGTTTTGCTTTTTCTGTAAAACACAATGCCAATTTATAGGATAATTTGCCATGATAATGATAAAAACAAATTGGCAACAACATATAAAAATGAGAACAGTTATTTCGAGGGCATACGTTTTACTGGCAATTTTGTATTCCGTATTTTCCAGGTATTTTTCTATCTATTCTTGATTTAATACAAAAAGAATTATACACTTATGATTGAATTGATTTTGTGATATATTTTAAGAATAACATAGCTATAACTTTAAAAGTATATTTGTAAGGAAAGAGCGATAGAAATGAGAGGTTGAAAACAATGCTGAATTAAAAACTAACAACAAGGAAACTTTTCTTCAAAAGTATTTTCCTTACTTTGTCTTATTTAATTCTTGCATATTAAATATATTTTCAAACTTCACTTATTGGCACAAACCGATGGTAATGTAAGCTATTTATTTGAAAACCATATGTATATAAGCACGGTGTGCTTATGAAAAGGTCATAGAAATGATTATTATTGATGATATTATATTTAAAACTGGCTGAGCAATTTAACAGATAATAAACAGGCAATAATTTCAACATAGACACTGGGATGTTTACTAAAACGATAGAAGATTTAGAAATATAATTAATAAAAATGCTCAAATTATTCAAAATACCTTCATTATTGTTGGTATATGCACTTTTGCTGGCTTACATACACGCGCGTATCTGTTCAAGAGACAATGTAAGACTTCCTTAATTTCAACACCTCCGCCAAATTCTGATACGGTTGGATTAATATCGCCAGAAGTTCAGCATTGCATGCAAACATAAAATTGTGATAAGATTTAAGAAAGGTTTTTAAACGTCTTTCCGAATTATTGACATTATCTTTAAGCTCTTAATTAATTTCCAACAAGAGAAAACTCAAACACGCGAGTCAAGATATGTATATATATATATATTCTTATTCCTCTTAAATGTTTCAATAAATATAATTTTATCTTTTATTTCTAGCTGAGACATGTCAAACTCACGGACAATTGTGATTGCCATAGACGACAGTGAACAGTCGCTGAATGCCTTTAACTGTAAGTACATTTCAATCAATCTGCTTTTATTTTGTAATTGTAATTAAACAATCAATTTAATGTATCTTGTTTTTCAAGTATATGTGCCATCTTTTGAATAACATTACCTTGTAACAGTTCTCGTGTTTCTGAAATAATTCCACTATAATAACTTCATTATATCTAAAAAAAAGATATTCGATAAGAATCGATAGTGATAACATTATTCATAAAAAAGTTATAATTCATATGTTGTTGGTATTTATCTCCATTTTAGTTTACGTTGACAACGTTAACAAAGTTGGCGACCGTGTCATTCTTGTGCATGTTCCAGAATACAGTAACGTTATAACTGATTGTAAGTGCAAATACTTACTGGTACTACATGTAATATCATTTTTATTATTTTTCTTATATTTACACTGAAACCGAACATGTAAATATATTTAGTTAAATATACTTTAAAATCACATCAGCAATGTAAAAATTAATTTTGTATGAAACTAGCTTTGTTTTTCATTTATTTTATGAAAGAAATACTTCTCAACTTAAAATAACAAGTCTTAAATAAGTTCTGGAAAAGTCGGTTATTCTTAGGATATAAAAATATCCTTAATTATTAACACAATACATAAGATACATGAACAGGTACTTTTTAGTTTCACATGTTAACGGTAATTATATATGGTATTTAGAAACATTGAAAATTAAGTACTTATTCAAAATTAAAACTTAATTTGGATGTTATTAAAGCTCTTACAGTAAGATCGTCTAGTTTTAAAGTGCTCCTAAAGCAGAAATAGAAACCGGACGTTATCGAAATATATCTATTGCCAATAGAATTTGCCAGTGCTGTTCATTACAAAATATAGAACTTGCAGCACACTTTATGCTAAGATGTTTTAATGATTCTTTAAGATCTTTGATAATTTCTAATATATTTGAAAAATGTTAAACAACTTTAATAAAACTGGAAAAGTTTAAGCAGTGTTTATGCTTGAAACTAGTGATAGATCTTGCAATAATATGATATAGCGTTGTTTTGTTAACAGCGTCATTGCTAACAGACACACAAATCCTGGCGGAGCTAATGAAGGTGACAGAGGAGAAAACACGAAAGCTAGAAGCAGATTATATTCTGAAAATGAACGAGCTGCGGGTAAGTCAATAAATTACTAAATTATGTAACGGCTTTTAACTGATTAGAAAAGCAAAACCACAAAGAAGCAATCACGCGTTGAATAAACATAGCTATGACGGACTATTAAATGAATTATATAAAGAAAATTCATTTGAGAGCAAAAAATAACAACGCATATCATTAAATAACAAGAGAATTATGCTGTAGAAAGTTATTGCTGTTTTTACAGATCAACGGGTCAATGAAGCAACACTATGGTACTCCTAGTGAAGCAATAATAGCGGTTGTTAATGAGGAGAAAGCAGATCTGTTGATTCTAGGATCGAAGGGACGAGGATTTATCCGACGCACATTTCTAGGGAGTGTCAGTGATTATTGTCTTCATCATTGTAATGTTCCTGTTATAATTTGTCCACACAAGGCTCAGAAACACTCAAGAGCAGACTTTAAACCAGATAAAAATATCAATTAAAACAGAAATAAAAAAATGTTAATATACAAATCGTGTTAAATTTTTGTTTTACACCCAACTATCGTGACGGTCGGAGATATACGGATAGACAAAAAACGGCAACTGTATGCACACACGTGGAAGTACATAGCGATTTATCTTTAACATTTCTTTTAACTTTTCATAAATCCTCTTATATTGATTCTTTTGCTGTATTCACGACAAACCATATGATTTCAGACAGATAATTAAAAGATAAAACTATGGTTAAAATTCTTACACGTTGCAGATTTCCAAAATGTCCATCACGGTTAACAGATTCAGCAAAGTTCTTTGAGTAGATTTGGAGTTGTGTCCTTGACAAATAAAAACAAATGAAAAGGTACTTAAAGGCAATGTACCGGGACTTTCCGATATATGCACTGATCTTTTTTGTAGTAAACCAGCCTCAACACCAATATGCTTTTCTCATTTAATGTAAGAATGCCAGAAATACATGATGTCTTTTAAATACGAACCAAATACATAGTATATATAAGTACTGAGAGCCATCTCTTGGAAACATTTCCAAAATCCCCAACAGAAATAACTTCTGACATTATGCCACAACTATATTGTCTGGTCAACACTGTTCGCATTGATAACAATTGCCGCCAGCATGGTTAGGATTAAGGTCCCCATTTGTAACTATGCTGCAACCCCATCTGTAACTATGCTCCATGGCATTGGACAATCTGGGTAAAATAACCCGATTAACGTCGGTCTGTCACGTTTGAATTTGATTATCCCAAACCCAAAGTTCCCTGATATCCCGAGGAATGTAGTTGTATTAAACTTACTAGGATACTGCTGCGTCTTTAGTAAGTATATCGATGCTGTAAATATTTGACACATTCTAATTCGTAATTTTCATCAATTATTGTTTTATTTCATCATTTTGTTGCCTTTCACCCTTATCTTTTAACTTGTTTAGATCCTCATTTGTTACTACGTCCCAATACATTGGACAATGCGAGTGAAATTAGCCGTCTATCACTGTCGAGTTTTATTATCCAAAAGCCAAAGTTCTTTCCTAGAGTATGGTTCATAATACTTCCAATGCGTCTTTATTAAGTAAATCAATGTTGTAAATACATGTACAAATGTATATGTCACCTTCCATTTCCTAGGTTTTACTCAATTGCCTTTTTATAATGTCATCTATTACCCTTATCTTTTCAATTTGTGTTTGGCTTTTTCAAGTTTTTCAATCATGGTTTGCACTGTTTATTACTCGGTCAATGTCAATATATATTTCTAAATTTCTTCCTAAAATGATAAATGGTCATGCCCTGACAGATATACGGACAGGTCCATTTGAGATATTTAGCGGGATCAAAGTTGAACTAAATCAAATACAACATACATTATATATTACGGTTGCATTAAAAGTACATATATTTACTGTTGATAGATGATGTTCACAGATGACCGCTCTGATATAATATGATAAGTTTCAATCGTCACATCAAAAATAATGGTGAGCGGTACCCAAATAGTTAATAGATTTGTTATTCAACCAAGGGATTCTACGTTTGAGTCCAGTAAGAGTTGTCTTATGACACCAGATCTAGTTAGTGCCAGGAAGCTGACACGGCAATGGTTCATAAAAGCTCACAATAGAGTAAAAATATAGATGTTTACACCAATGAATACTCTTGATCCTTATGCCTCAAAAGCTAATAATAATTTCCTTCCAATAGAAGGGGAATATCAGTGTTGTAACGTTCAGTTAATGGTTTTAAGAGAACATATTAGATGCATATCAACTGACGAAAATCGCGCGAAACGTGGATTTATTCTTCACAAAAGTAGCAAAATATAAAAAGTAGTATTTTGACTTCTATACAAAATACTTAATCACTTTAAAAAATAAAATAATTTGAGAGGCATAATGGACTTTTAAATAACAAATCAACAACTTTTATTCAAGTTCAAAATTATTTCAAATTATTATTTCATTTACTCACATTTCAAATTACAATCTATATTTGTTAACATAATTTGTTTATTATCTTGTATACGTAGTGAGTACAATTTATTTCTTTACTACAGTAAGTAAATGCCATAGGTCAACCGTCTATGCTAAGTGTGTTGGTAACTTAACAATTTTATAATTCTGTTTTATATGTACATGGTGTTTAAGTCTTTTTCATTATTTAATGATATCAATGATAAAAGTAAAATAAGATTTGTCGCCGGCCAATAAACTCGTCAAGCTAGCGTCTTTAATAAAGTATGACAAAATGTTACTTTTATTATGATATAATGTTGATGATTAATACGGTTATTACAAAAATTACAATATATAAACACAAGAAATAAATGATTAATAATCATTATATTTTTTGTTTTCTTTTGTTATTGTTTTACATTTTGACATAAAATTACCTCATTTCACTTACATTTATAACACCAAAGATGTTGATTTAGACATTTACATCTATTATGAGTGGATAAATATTTATATAATAAAAATAGTTTTGATTTTGGAAAAAAAACAGGTTACCGCAATCATTTGTTAATGATGTGCATTCTTTTCCTTAATTTGTTTTAATTAATAAAGAAATACCACAATCTCATACACTATTTTCTGTTGACTTTAACGTTAAAGGCAGAGATAAAAGTTTGAAGTTTAAATGCGTTTTTACACATTATGTTATATGTTATTATGTTATATATTTATAACTTTACATTATAAGTCCTATAATAAAGCACCTGCCACGTTCAATAACATGATAGCCTGCCTTAAAACAATGCCAATATCTACGAGTATATCACTTTTTCGGCCGAAAAATAATATAGATATAAAGCCCGCATTTGAAGTAATTTGATTGGCTAATAAGGCAGGACCAAAAATGATATAGATTTCTGCAAGAAACTGGGAAACTGGCAGCCAGTTTGTTTAAACTCGGTCTATGTGTAGACGCCGACAGGTTGCATAAATGAAACAAAATATTCTCCGTTTCTAAACATTCGCGTGATGATTTAGTAGTGTTTATATCCAAGGATTAAATGTGAAATATTATAAGTACATGTAGCCTTGGGCCAATACGACTGCCCTCAGACAAATATAAAATCACTTATTTATTGATATATAATATTGCAACGTTTAAATTCATGCGCGCATTTATATAAACACGAAGGTATCTGAACTGTTATGGCAGCGCGAAGAAATAATAATATTTATATAGATATGCATACAGAAAGATAATATCTTTAAATGAAAAATGGCGGACATACATTTAGCAGAGAGGTATCATTTTTCTTGACTTCATTTGGCTTACTGATGTTATTTGACATTTCAAATCTCATTTCCTAAACCAATGTAAATTTATAACGTAACGGAGAGGTTAAAATTTTCCTTTCATAAACATATTTTGCAGATAATTTTGTTGATATCGGATAATTATTTCCATAATTAAAGATGATATATATATTTGTCCACTCAAACAGGAGGCAAATCTCTTACCAAACATCTTTACTATGTAAATTGTAAGTAAAATGATATGATGTAAATACGAGTCAAAATGTAATAGAAAATCAAAGTATATCATTATCAAAAAGAAAATCAGTTCTGATCATAAGTAAGATGTCACGTCTCTTGCAAACATGAGTCATGGTGGTTTTTATTTCTACACACAATGACAGGAACTTTACAGTGATGAATGCAGAAGTCGCTTACACTGCCTAGAAATGTTCTCCTCACATAACCCATGCCACGTGATCCAAGAACAAGCAATGCGGCACCTTCTGTTTTCGTCACCTCAAGAATTGCCTCCCCTGCTTTTCCACACTGCTGTTTTACGATACCTGAAAGCTTTAAATAATACAAATATCATAGAACTTCTGTACATAGCACAGACAATAATTTTACATATCTGTACATAACATAGACATTTATTTATTATTATTATATAATCTATAAATAGTTTTGCAAAGCATTTCTCAGAATTACCTTTATTTTGTAAACAAACATAGCAGTATGAGAGAATAGGTTCGGAAAAGGTTTGCCTAAAAATAGGTTTGGACCAACCCCAGCTTATTGTTATTACTTTTAAAATACGTTTGATGACAATAAGAGTCAAATAAGTCTACGAAAATTACGAATTCGGCATAAAATAAGAACAATACAACGTTCCTACAATGATTTTGCCGATGCGCAACGAGCCCGCTTTATCAGAATTTCACAAACGTCATTATTTCAATTAAGATATTTCTTTGCTTTGGTTTATATCGAGATGAAATAAACATTGAACAAATTATTGATAGTCCAATTTAGCTAATTATGTACAATATTTGAAGAATCATTTAGAAGACGACATGAAATAAATAACAAAAATCATGAGTACACTCTTGGGAATAACTTGGACGAAAAAAACCTAATGCGTAAGAAAATAAATGATGATTTTTTATCATAAAATTGTTTTATTATCTATTTTTATCGATCACTCATTAGTGTATACATTATTCCGACTGTTAATGGACTCTGCGTTGAAAGCTTTCGCTGATTTTTTTCCGGTCATAAAATATTGTTAGAGAAAAGAGTAGTATCCATCTATAAAACAAGCAGGTTTACAAGTCCCTGTATAGACAGCAATCTGACTCTCAGTCATGAATATAAATAATACATCAAAATATTGACAATACATTTCCGATGATGTTTTATGTGCAATGTTGTTTTGTTGTGTTTTTATTTCATTTGATGTACATGTTGGTAATATATTGCAAATTATTGTATTGTTGTCATTCATGTTACTTTATGATATCAATAGCAAAGCTTGTCATATAAAATATTTGCAAAGGATAAGAACATTTATTACATGACTTTGAAGATAATAATGTAATAACAAGCCATATAGCTGAAAAATTTGATGGCTTGGTATACAGTATGAGTATTTCAAATATTGCAAAAAACTATAAAAATTTATCTTTTTGATATTCTTACAAAATGTTTCTTAGACAAAAATTGTTGATGTAATTGTAAGTGATTTTGTATGGAATTTCTATCATACATAATAATACTTTATTTTAAAACACTTTATTTCTTTTATACAGGTATACATGCTATATATAAATATGCATTTCCGATAATATATCCCACACTTACCAATAACACCTATATTAAATTCGTTCGTATTGTGTTGTCACGTATAAAACTAAATTCTATCAACATAATTACATGTATTTATGGTATTGCATACTTTCCAATAAGGACAAATCCACCAACTTGCATAATTTATTCCTTTTTCTGTGTGTTCCTTTAACAATCCTTTTAACATAATGATTTTCATTTTAATATCTGAAGCTTATTTACTCACATCTTTTGCTTTCATCTTGACAGAGTACTTGTCCACCAGCTTCTTCGTGTTCTCCTCACATTCCTTTAACAGATCATGCACAATGTTCGGGTCCGTAAGTAATGCGGCTGTCAACAAGAATATCCATTATTTTAATTAGTTTTACAGTATTTTTATTGTATATCTTACACAAGCATTCAATTTACATATACATTTTTATATCAATGTATAAAAAGGTTGGCTCAAAGTATTTTCAACATTATCGTAGCCCTCATAATTATAATGGTAAACGTTCATAAAATGTGAAACGTGTTTTACTTTACTGGAACATGCCAAATGTAGTTCTCACTTTTTGTTATAAAATAACGTTAAGCATATCAATCATATATACAGTTAGTAATATAAGATATAAATAATTCAAATTCAATTATTTCTCTAAAATATTAAAACGTTTCAATAAAGATTTGATTAAAAAGTTGTATGTATTTCAAAACATAGATTAAGCGACCGTTTATCAGTCATTAATTCAAACATAAATCCACAAATTAACAGCATGGATGCATGCTTATCTGTTTCATATCAACCAGAAGCAGCCCACCGACATGCTCGATATAAATCCATCCATCAAACTTGTTAGTATATAAAATCACTTTACATAGCTTGAGATACAGCAATCTATAACAAACTGTGCTTTTATCATTCCTTAGGTATTTATCATAAAATTACTGAAAATAGTGCTTATTTCTCTTCAGGGAATATTTGCAATGAAGTAAATAGAAAATCCGTCCAGTTTATAGAACAAAATGAACGTCAATGCATAGATCCCTGACCTGTCCAATTCTGATTATCAGATTAGTGGTCACAATAAGAATTTCACCACAAGATATTTGTTAACAATAGAGCACAGGTTCATGTTTGTGGTGAAATCTATTGTTATTCAAATAAAAGGCCAGAGCTTGGATCCATCAATAAAAGACTATGACATAATAATGTTGTATCTTAAATATAGTTTTCATACGTTTGAAGCCGTTCGGTTAAATTATGCGTGACGCAGTCTTTCACATATGCATTTTAAAAAAATGTATGTATAATTTTGTTAATATGGTAAAACAGGTATGTGAAGAGAATAAAAAACTTGATAATGTTCTGACAGTGTGTGATGGATTCACCGTTTAAAACTGGCTCTAAACAAAATATAATCAACCGATTATTCAATTTGCTCCATTTTACTGTGCTTTCATTGCCCCCCAGAGATCTTTTTATTTAAGGATTGTTAGAATCTTTCTCTTCCACAGTCTAAAGAAACCGATGTTGTTGATATTAATCAATCTTAAGTGTCGAAAGAAGACATTTATTATTTCGTTAAAACTGTCTGTCGAAAGAGAAATTGGCAGTCTATTTTGAATTTTATCTCTAGAAAGTTAAGTGTCTGTAAGCAAAATGCTGAAGTGATGGGCTATATGTCACCACCTTGTTTGTTAATTGCAACAAATCACTTGTTCATAATAACTGTACATTTATACACAACAATGGGTGTTTACAGCTGATAAATACACGTATATACAACAAGCTTTCAATACATTAAAGCTTAACAACTGATCAATTACCTTGTCCGACTGTTGGCATCAATGAAAATTGAAGAAAATAACACTACATTAAACAACTAAACGATCAGATAGGTGTTGCCTCCCTTAATATAGCAACACTTAATATTTCAGTAATCGTATGAAAATATACACATTATCCTTGACCTCAGAAATTCACTCTTCAAAAATGTTCAACACATTTTTTTCAATGAATATCTAACATGAATAAAACATGAATAAAACAATTATTGTATTTTAGTAAGACAAAGCTCAGTGTATCATCTTATCTTGTTATACTGAAGAAATAAGAAGGTGTAATACTATTTATCACATTCAAAGTGGCAGTAATCATACCATTTGTTTGCATTAGAGGTGAATTCCTCTCTTTATAAGCTTCACAATACATATATTTAAACCTATATTTAACAGTGAGAAAATATAACGTTACAATTTTCAATACAAAATAACAAATGTTCTTTAAACTAATTTGTTGGTTCCGGAAACGGAAAGTATACTTTATATGCTTAATAGATAACTCCGTGCACAACCAAACTAGAACAAATTCTTTATAAACTAAAGTAACACTTCATTTTTTTCTTTGGTTGTTACATTGTTATCTCACTTTATTGTTGTATGGTCATATCGATTTTACTGCACGTTTTAGCAATTTCAATATTAGCCAGTCATTTCAATTTCTAAAATGCGCAGTGCAATTATAGGGTAAAGTGTTTTGTACGAAATTTTCTAGTATAATGTAATATTAAACCACAACAAATGAGAGTTAAAGTGTTTCATTACAAACTATTTCACTCTCATATGTTGATTGCTTATAAATTATTTAGCTCGCAGCTTCCTTGATTTGTCAACAGTAATGATGTACGTATTTCGTCCTATTGTCGGTATACAATACATTGTGCGCCATGTGGCGACGGTCCAGCTTTTATGACACGGACGGACTTTATTGTCCATGTGTGTATTTTGTATCTGAGATGTACTATAGAAATGTCGAAAACAAGTTATATTCCATCCTCATTATAGATTATTCAACACCATGTTTACACTTTGAACACAGAGGCAAATTATTTGATACATTATCTAGTTAATGATGATAAATATGAATTCAAAACCAAAATTTTATTCAAATGTTTTGCATTTCTAAATAAACGTATTGAACTACAAAAAACCTATTTGTTATAATTTAAACAATGCATTTGAATAATGAGGTCTATTATTTAGAATAACTTTCCCATTATAACATCGTAAAGAGTCTTATTCTAGACTTCTAGATCAATATCATGTGAAGTTAAGTAGGAGCAATAATAGTGGGGATGTAAACATGCTTTACTCTGTCCAAATATCCTATCATATCCTATTATATTGTCATTAATGTGACATGTTATATCTTATTTTTTATGAATGATTATATAAATAGAATAATCTACAGGTTAGACCTATTCAAATACATGAGAAAATCATTACGTGTTTTGAGAAGATCTCCGAACTCTGGAACATGGACCAGTACAATACGATCGCCTTCTTTGTGGACATTATCTACGTAAACTGCAAAGAGAGATAGGGAAATAAAATGACATATAAATCGATAAGTATATTAATTACAAATGATCGTGATGTTTGTCGCTAAATTGCTGTCTTCAAACCACCTGACTTTCGTCTAGTTTTAGTGTTATCAAAATGAATGATTTATTTACGACATTGTTGACGTAGATAAAAGGTTTGTTAATGTAAACAATGTCAAAACAATTGGCAATTTTGATGCATTCTCTCTTACTTAAAATGATGTTTGTTAATTAAGACCGAAACAAAATAGTTGATAAATCCGGCGTTTTCAAGACGCTTCTTCTTACTAAAGCTTCAATAGTTTAAGAGAACTGCTTCCTACGCAGTATGACACCAGGTTCACATGTCATCAATATTATATATAGCATCTATTTCAAGATTATGCATTGGTTAATTTTTTAATAAATTCGCGAAATTTTATTAACTTACTCGTTTTGCAGATTTTATTTTGTTCTTGAATGCCAAGATTTTTATTTTTCTATTTGTAAAAAAATCCACAATGCCTATATAAACGAATAACTACGTACTGCAAATTATTTCTTTTTATTGGTTATCACATTTTAAGTATTTAAACCCGAGCGGCACTGCAAGAACTGTTTCTTTTAAAAGAGCAATAATCCCCCTCTCTCTCCTTTTTAAATATAATTTATATTTTTATCCTTTATCACGAACTACTCGGTTAATACCTATACAGCACCATTATAAAAGCGGATTCTCGTAACAACGATACATAAAATGAGTGACTGCATATATCCTAACATCTGTTTCACCTTCTTGTAATTATAAATAAATATTTGGTCATTTGGCTTGTATGTGCACATTTAAATAAACTAAAAAGCACGGCATGTGAATTCACCATATATTGTTATCACTAACTATTAAAATATGATTTTTTATAAGAAAAATAATAGCAATTTACTTACAATCAAATGCATATTCCGAATGTTCACTATTATCAACAGCAATAACAACAGTTCTTGTACTAGTTGCAGACATATTGTCCGCTTTGTTTGCCTGCTAATGTCCTAGAATACACAACTACTTGAACGCTCGAATTAAAAGTAAATATTTTAACTATATTCCAGTATTTCTATTAGCCATTTCCTAGGAAATATAACCCTAACAACTACAATATTCGACTCTGTTTCTACTGAATACAAGGAGAGTTAAGAATGCCGACCATTGATCATTAAGTCTTGTTTATCAATTATTCTGTTAACAGAATTTTATAGTAGTATGAATGTCATTTCTTCATGATTTTTCCCACAGAAAAAAAACTATCTCTCAATAAGATAATAAGGCACATATTGAACTAGTATTATCAAGAATCAGCTAACAAAATTTCTTCCATATCATGTTTCATGATTTGAACAGCGAGCTGAAAAACCAATATCAGTTGAAGAGGTTGGCGTTAATATGTTTTTAATATAGGAACTCTTCCTGCCAAGTCTTTCAATTAACCCACTTAGAGCGATTTGTAGATGCTAACCACGATGATTCATAGCCGGTGTTTCTGAGAATGCCAGCCAATTTAAAAGATAATATCTGTCTATATTACGTTCATTAGCATAATTATGAACAAGGCTTTGAATTAACGAGAAACTAGGCTTCTTCATTTTTGATCCTGATAAATTCATTCATAAACAGAGAACAGAGTTTGCAAGGACTGGTTTTAAGACGCGTTGAATGTTACTCTGTGGTCGATTTAAGCGTCAGTATTCATCAAGCAGAATGCATATAAGTGAAACGCGGATAGATAAATGTCAATTTCAACCCAGTTAGAAATGAAACAAGTTACAAAGTTTAACACCCCTGACAAGTCTTAAAAGCATTTATTTACATAAATATAATACTTTTAGAACCTAAGTGCCCTACAAAAGATACAAACTTTGGTGATTTGCTCAATTTCATGCATATATTCGGAAGTAAATACATATTGTCAGAATATTCAAATAAGTTGCAGATGGACTTGCCGTTGAGTGCAAACTATAGAATTTTTTAGCTTCTTCTACATCTGAAAGAAGTTTTAAGCCCAATACTTCAGCGTTTGAATAATGGAACTACTCATTATACTTTAATGATCTGATACCTGTTGTAGGTAAAAAAGATAACCTTTTGAAAAGGATTCTAAACATTTTGAAAAAAAAAAATCTTCTCCCAAAGTTATAGATTTGAATTAACTGAAGAATATAACACAAACGTTTAATATTAAGATCAACAACGAGAGCTGTTCACGGAACAAATCCTCCACAAACGTCCAGCCAGTCAAGACCACCTAGCAGAAAACACAAATGACTAGATAATTCTGCAATATATGTATGATACACTACTATTAGAGTTACGTTGCACTTCCCAATTTTGGTTCCGTAAATGAGGCAACAAGCGTTGTTTTGAAGACAGAAATGTAAGTAACGTCATCAACAATATTGTTCTTTTGTGTAATAACTCCTATGTACTAGAAAGTTAAGACTAATTAGGAGTATATAACGTCGTAGATTAAGGAGCCCTACTTAGAGGTTAATAAACTACGTAGGAATAACAAAGTCCTAATAAGGCATTTACGGGTAGGAGTGTAAAATCCTACAAAGGACTTATAAACTCCTTATTAGGCTATTTTAATCTCTAACATAGGAGTAAAAGTTCTAATTAATGCTTTTATCTATTACGAATGAGTTATCCTTTTTGATAAAACAAAATAAATTTCCACCAGAACTTAAATACTTCACCTAGATTGTTTGATTTATAATTTGTTCTGACGACTTCTGTTTGGACCAATAAATTGCAGAATTTATAAGATCATGTATATTAAATATTAAAACATATATCCACTTTCCAACTGATTCACTGTTGTTATATTTGAATGCCTTTCAATTACGGGATTGAAATATTTTCACAGCAACCCCCCAAAACAAAACAACAACAAAAAACAAATAACAACAACAAAGAAGTGACTTGCTATCTTATCTTGATCAAGTTGATGTTTACACGTAATACGGCGTAAAGATGTTTATGATATTGCAACACTACAGTGATTTTAAACGTTCATACCAACAGAAGGAAAGATAACAGAAAACAAGCTCGCTGCAGAGCAACTAATGGAGTTGCTTCTCTTATACAGGTATTTAATACAAAGAGGTTTTTAGAAGCTATAGGCATATCAATATGGCTATGATCCATCTAAAAAATATGATGCAAGACATTTTATTTGAATTTAAGTCTTTAAATGCATGTGATATTTTCCGTTGCATGCTTGAAAAGACTGTCGGCTGCTAAAGTGTAACATGCTTATTTATTTACTTTAAGAGAATGATTGCCAAACCGTTTGGTACCAGAGCAGATGCATCTAGTCTGATGTTTACCAATTTGTTCGCAAAGGTTATTTGGATTACTCTTAACAGAATCAGGCTGAACATATCTTTTATATAATTTAACGAAATCGTGTAATTTAAACTATGCAGCAGATGACAAAATGCGTACAATTCAGTCCTGTATTGTTACATATTAAGAAAACTGTATAGCTTATCAAGTTGTAACAAGTACTTGGTAAAACGGATGAAAGCCTTTTAGTCGCAGTAAAACATTAATCAACTAATGCCATTTGAAAAAAAGATGAAAAAACTAGCCTTGAATTTAACATTTTTTATGTGTTAGAAAATGGCAATGTGGATATATCAACATTGAATTAAAAGCAATGTAAATACCAATGATATTTCCAAATCAAATTTTGTATAAATAGGTTTGTAAAATGTGAAGAAATACGAACATATATTGAAAGGAATCGATCGCCTAATGCATAAAAACAAACTCTTTTTATCAGTTTGCACGTATTCATTTGTGTTCCCAAATCTTGAACTGCAAAATATCATGCAACATAAAGTTTTAAATGCATATTTTATACAGGTATGTGAATCATGTAGCAATAAGCTTACGCAAAGTGAAATAACAAGACATTAGGTTCCTTTACATCTATTTCAGGTCATATCAGATTTAATATAAATGCCATTTTATCAAGCATATTGACAACCAAAATCCCCATCTAGAGAAACACACGTCACATCATATTACAATGTTAGCAAATGCATTATGACTATGCCTATATAATGTCTTCCAACATGAGACGTTAACGGAAGCTTTTAGATGTAATGAATACAAACTCACATACTCTTCCATTAATGTGAATTGATATTGACCGATTGTAAGCTATTTATACCAGCAAATACCAGTTTTTCTTTATTCTAATGAGAGACCTATCATACTTATACTAATTGATCGAGACATTATACAGTAAATAAATGATGAAAAAAAAAACATAACAAAAATGTAAATAAAAGCATAAAAAGTAAATAAATATATAGAAAGCATTATCATAACATTTTTATAGTTAGAAGAAGTTTGGTGCTGCAAGTAGAAATATTTCATTATTTAATTGATATAATTGATAGACATGTTCCAAAAGTTTGTTTTATTTTGAGGAATATGAACTATTATCGGTTCCAAGACTTTAGTATGTAAAGGAGATCATGTAAACCATTTCAAGACTCAATTACTTTTGTTGTAGTATATATATTTACTAATTTCTCTTTCTTTATTAATCATATGAAATCTTAACACTAGATTAGTGAATGGTTAAATAATTCAATGGAAAGACAGTTTGACAAATGCTTATTTGAAATAGTCCGGATAGAAATATATCATTAATGTCTAAATTTTCTATTTTGTAACACAAGCTATCTTAATCACTTATCTCAATTAACTTATTAATTAATAATAATTTTTTAGTTATAATTAATTATTCAATTATTAATTAACATCCCCTATCAATCTTAAAAATGTTTTATTGATATATTCATTACTACTATAATATGTATTAATTTGGCTGCTTTTTTTTATAAACTTCTTGCATAACATCATCACAATAACATACTGCAGGAAAACGTTATGAAGATACTGTGAGTTATCTCGAGGAACAAATGGTATAGAAATTTAAAGGTTAACGTACCTTTCAACTCTGAGAGTAATTGATTACTGCTAGTGATACTGTACTGCAAAATATCATAGTTAACAGTGTAATTGTTATGTTTATCATGTATTAAATATTAACATTACATTTATGTATTACCATGTGCTAGATGAATGCTTAAAGCCAAACGTTAGATGAAACCTGTAAACGCATATAACAATGACTAAAGTGGATTGTTAAATGTCGAGTGAATAAATGTTAAAGAATTGATCAATTCATTACATAAATTGCATATCATGTAAGTGATACCCGCAAAATTGTTGAAAGCCACGTGAGAAAATTTGAATCACTGACAAAAATAAAGAAGGTATTTTGAAGAGCGTTTTTGTTAGCATAATTTATATCTGTTTTGAAGGTTTGAATTTAGTTATCAAGGCGAAGGAGTGGGCCATTTTCTTCCGTGACCCTAAGGTTAGCTGAATAAAAAAATTAGTATTGATGTGTTGTAATGATTACTATAATCAATCTACACAATATTGTTTAGAAATTTGATCGTACTTTAATGAACCCGTCTTTTCTCCACTAGCTTCAGATTATTGTGTTAATTTTTTAAGACATTAGGGTCTTAATATTAAGACATTTTCATTCCTAAAATATCTTCCGTATCAAAAGAATTAGCTAGAAATCTTAACCACTAACATCGAATTCAAAATATATTTTAGGAATTTAGATATTTTATACAAAGCATCAGTATGCTGCTTCGTATTGATGAGCATGTAAGATGTTTTATAACTCGAGAATGTAGCGCTCAGCAACTAAAACGTAAAGTAACGTGTCATAAAAGTAGCAAAATGAAAACAAAATTGTATTTGGCTTTCATACAAAATACTAATTCGCTTCAATTACACCTACTGCCAACAGAGCAAAGACAGAAAACAATTCATCTCTGTGGCAAATGAGTATTTTTTGTTTGAAACTAGGCACCAAAAATAAAAAAAAATTGAGAAATAAAACAAAATTTTTTCTGAGGCATAATTGGCTCAATATAAGAGGTATTTACGCTATACAAGACAACTTAACAGAATGTGAATTTCATCTGACACTGTTAAATCATAAGTGTGTGCTAAAACCTTTCTTCAATATCTACACACAAGGATTGTCCCTGGAGTGATCGAAACTATTCCTTTCGTTTTATGTAAAATGATTTTGCAAATTGTGAAAAGAGAACGAATCAAAATAAACGTGACCTGCTTCTCGGCTAATTGAACGATTAAATTTATTATAGTTTTAATATGTATAAAGATATAATTTAAATAAAGCCATTTAACCAAACTTCAGTATACAGATTAGACAGTCATACTATTTTTAGATAGAATGAAAATATTACATTATCAATATCCTATATAATGTAATTGACAAAATATAAGAAATTGTGTGTCCAGGAATCTGTAAAACTCAGTTCATTTCAGTTC